TCCTAGGTCCCAAATGGCCCAAAGCCTCACTGGTAGAAGCATTCTTTCATCTACCAGTGTGTCCCCTGGTCTCTTGGCAGAGACATGACCTCTCATCCCCACCTGGTACACCAGCATTCCATGGCACAAAGCCCCAGTGGTAGAGGCATTCTCTCACCTACCGGTGCATCCACTGGTCTGTCGGCAGAGACATGACCTCTCACCACCCAGTTTCATGGCAGACACGTGGCTCTCTTGCCCCAAGCCGGATTCCACTGACACCAAATGACCCTTCCTAGGTCCCAAATGGCAAAGGCTTCACAGATGACCTCTCCTAGGCCCCAGAGGCCAAACAACAGAGACAGAGGATTCCTGACATACGCAAAGTAGTGAAGTTCAAACCACATCCCCATAATATCAGAAAACAAGCAAAGAATAACTTCCCAAGGGTGAGGTTTTCCTCTGCTCCAAGTTTAAAACTTTCACAACCTTTCTATATACCTTTACTCATTCAGATTTAGCCATAATTCACTTTCAGTTTTTGTTCTTTTCCACACTGAGAAGGACCATACTCAAACTGTTATCTGACAGTTAAAAGTCCCTAGCTTTACAAGCACATGAATAAAGTAAAAGAAACATTGTCACCCTGTATTCGGGGTCACTGTCTTTTTCCAGAAGAGGAATTTCAAATCTCCTTCAGGAGTACAGGTCCCACTCTCCCTTTCAGCATCAACCGTAGCAGCAGGGTCTTTGTCCTCAGGTGGTGCCCATTTTATCCCTGTGTGGTGGATCCAGGGCTTGATTCCCACAGCTGAAAGGAAGAATGTGATGTCAACGGGCTGCCATAGGGATCAGTCCATTGTTCAGCTGGCTGCTCCTCAGGGACTTGAGTCTTCCAGGTCTTTTATCTGTCTTTGGGTGTGGTTAGCACAAATGGCACTAATTGGATTTCAGCTATCCCTTTCCCTGAGTAAGGTGATTTAAACTATTTACACTCTGGTTGGAGAAGAGAAGTGTAAACCATTTACCCCTAAGTGTCCTTGGTTTAGGGAAGATAGGATTTTTGAAGTACTAGATGGCTGTAAACTGCTTGGCCAATTAACAGTCTACTTAGTTTCCCTCTTGCACTTGTCCTGGCATACCGGCTTGTCTTATATTTATGCACAGTTGTATAAATATGACACAAATAAATCTCAAAAATATACAATGACATGAATAAATCTCAAAAATACTTTTCTGATCAAATGAGACAGGCACAAGAGAATACATACCTCCTACAGCCCCTCCTAATCCTCCCCAGGGATCTGATCAGATCTCTCTGTATGAATCTGAGAAGACAGCAGATTATGTACCCTCAAAAACCATCTTAACATTGCGTCTCAAGGTGATCTTTGTATAAGAAGAAAAAGTAGATAAGAGGTTTGGGGGAAAAAGGTTAATCCGTTAAGAGCCACAGTCCAGCTGTGATTTTCCTCTTACTTCAGCTGTTGATCAACAATTCTTTATCTGTTAATTCTTTATTTGTGTTCCCTCCTTGGAACACAATAGCTCAGATACCATCTCCATCACTTGCAGACCCCTAGGGCACAGTGGTTGAATTGCTTGTCAGCCTCCTAGGTCAGGCATTCCAGTTCCTAGAATAACAGTTTTCCACATGCATTGATTACTTAAGCCTATCAACTACAGCTAAGGCTAAAATCTTTAAATCTTGAGTTCCCTTATTAGTTTGAAGCTGGCTCTGGGACCTCCTGAGAGGTGAAGGCCAGGGTCAGCCACCCCCTGTGTTCTGCCCAGAGCCATTTGGCATGAGCTACAAAGTGATCTGCAGATGGCTGTTACTTGTGCTGGGCTTGGAGGTGCCCAGGAGAGGCCAAGCTGTGAACCAAGGCTGTCTGCTGCTAGTGCTGGGCCTGGGGCCACTCAGTGAGATGTGCAGGGCACACAGAGGCCAGATTCTGCTTGTTGAGAGATTTTAGGAAAGTCTGACGCGTGAGCCAAGACAGGCCTTTCATATGGAAAAACCACTGGAAATGGCTTGGGTGGACCCACAAGTTGGTTGAGACAGGGTGTCAGAGAATCACCAGGGCAGGGTGAGCATTAGCCAGGTTGTTGAAGACTCAGATAGGGCACCTGCCTGCCAGCTCTGTGCGGGGAGGGCTCATCAAAGGCACAGTGGCCTCTGCCAGCACTTGTCTCTGGGAGAAAGCTGCTCCTCTACTTCCCATCCTGATGCCAGGCTCTTCAGTTCCTCTCCTAAGTCCCTGGTGCCTTTCAAGCTGCTGCCTCAGTGTTGGAGCTCAGAGGGAGTAAGTTGATTAAGTCTGTGCAGGCCCTTTAAGAGGAATTGCTTGGGACTCCAGAAGCACTCCATCTTCCTCAGCCTTGATCCCTGCTGATTTTTACAACCAGAAGTTGTAGGGACTTCTCTTCCTGGCATCGGAACCCTGGGCACGGGAGCCTGGTGGGGGCTGAAACCCCTCACTCCTCAGCGAGAGCCTTCATAGACAAAATATGCCTTCCAATTTTTATCCACCACACTTGGGTGTGTGATGAGTCTGTTCCACATCTCCACCCCTCCTACTAGTTGCCATGTTTTGTGTTGATTTACTAACCAGGATTGGTTAGGCTTGCTATTCAGCAACTTAGTTTGAAACAAGGAAAGGAGAATATTAAAGGAAAGTATGAAAGTTTTTGGAAAGAAAGATCATATTCCAGTTTAGACTAGAAATTCTAGTTCAGGTTAAATATAAATACATAAATTATTTTTATTATTTCTGCTAAGCTATAATTTAACACTAGAGCTCAGAAAAAAAGTATAGCTCTTGATGTATAAGAGGCATCTAAATGTTACAATTATATAGCTTCAGGTTAAATGCTTTGATTATACCCTGTTTATTTAAATTGCCCAGCTAGCCCAGGCTTGATGAAAGAATTAAGTGGTATCAAGACAGGGCACTGAAGACACACCTGGTTTCCTCACTATTTAGGGGCCTTACGAGAATTATTTAAGGACTTTAGTTTTGTGAGAGAATTTATCTTTATTGTAGCATTTGAGGGATGGGGTAATAGGATTTTTTTTTAAACATGCCAGAGGGTTTTGCAGTTCTGGTTTAGAGCTGAGGGCAGAGTGAGTTGGAAGAAAAGCAGAATCATAGCAGTTGTTGAAAATACTAGTTCATAACAGTGGATTTTTTCACCAAGTTACCCATTCCTATGTTATGTTCATAATATTTTTTGTCTTAGTTCTATGTAGAAATTTTTCAAATTTATACTAATATTTTTTAATACTAATAATATTCTAGCACTGTATTCATAAAGCTAGAATTACAAAATATGTAAGTGATTGACAGCATGAGGGAAAACAGGAACATATGTAGGAGAAACTCAGCACCCACAGAGTTGAGGCCAGAATTGTATCTGGAATTTTTATTTATTTGTTTGTCCTTCTTTTAAGCAGAGAAAATGGAGATGGTTTATTTTGAATACCTAGTTTTTTTTTTTAAACATAAAGGATATAAGGGAATTAATAGAAGAGATTGTCAGAGAATCAGAATGCTCCTTCACACCTATAGTTAAAGGGTTAATATGCAGGAAGAGTCTTGGAGATAGTATTCAAATTCCAAGTTGCTGGCATTATTAAAATGCATAAAACCTTTTACAGGAATGTAGTGATAAACCATTTAGCTGTGGATGGATACTTCTGTGTGTTTTCTCCAAATGTAGGAAAAGCCGTGCTTCCCTTTGTAGCCATGGAAATTTTCTTCTTCAACAGGACCTTGTTTTTACAGCTTTTTTCTGACAGTAAGCTCCCAGTAAAAATTTATAATACAAATAATTGAAAATCATTTCTGTTTTGTTTCACAGTTTACTCTTTCCAGCATGTTGGGTCACAAAATAAAATCTTAAATTAGGAGCCCTGGCTGGTGTGGCTCAGTGGATTGAGTGCTGGCCTATGAACCAAACAGTGGCCGGTTCAATTCCCAGTCAGGGCACATGCCTGGGTTGCAGGCCAGGTCCCCAGTAATGGGCTCACTAGAGGAAACCACACATTGATGTTTCTCTCTCTCCTCCTCCTCCTTTCCTCTCTCTCTAAAAATAACTAAAATAAATCTAAAAACTATATTTTAAAAAATCTTAAATTAGGAAAAGCCCTCAGAGAGAGTTTTTAAACAGCTCAAAAGGTTGGTTTATCAGTTGTAGACAGTAATTCATTCCATTTTTGTTGTTCTGTCTCTTACTGTCATTATATCTTGCCTGTTCATCTATATATATAGTCTCCAATGACTGGCTTGTTTCATTGATGGCAAACTTGAAGAGTAAGCCTAGAACCAGTGGGATATAGTAAGATGCTATTATACACAGTCTAATTCTCCCTTTCTTAGAACTAGCTCCAAAAGATAAAATAAAGTTTGGGGGGAGGGGGGGCAGGAGAAAGTGGTGGCGGGAAAATGGAGACAAATGTATTTGAACAATAAAAAATAAATAAAATAAAAATAAAGTGTATTTGGTCTCAGGTAAAAATTAGACTCTGGAGAGAGACCAGGATTAGGGTCTGTTGCTGCTGTTAAGTCTTATGCATGGCTCTCCAAGCTTCTGTTACTTCATCTTCAAAGCGTGAAAAATAACAGTATCTGAGTTATAGGGTTGTTTTTAAGGAATAACTAAAATAATGCATGAAGACACTTAACAGTGTGTCTGGAATATAATGAACAATTGATATATGATTGAAAAGATTTTTAAAATTCCTGCATGGAATTTTGTGGAGTCTGTGTTCTACATCTTTTCCTTATCCTTTGGGCATTTCAATCTTCTTGGGTCCTTTGTGAAATACATGTGGCATTAAAGATGGCGAGTCCTCCCGAGTTCAGTGTGGGCAGCATCTAGAAACCGATGCTTTCCCTTAGGCAGAATTCATGGGTTCCAAATAGCCTGAAGGAGTAATACATGAAAAAAAAGATGAAATTGACATGTTTTAAAAGGGTTTTCTCATTATGTGCTTTCTTTTCATATTTTTTAAACAGTGCCTTTGAAGATGAGACCATGAAGCTTCGACAGCTGAAACTAGATAATCAGGTGAGCAGAGTCTTCTCTTTTGAAATAAGTGAAAATCTCTACTGACCATGATGCTGAGGGCTTTGACTCTGAAGACTTGGTAGGGTCATAGAAAGAAGACTTGGAAGTAAAGGCTTTGATGTTACTCACTAAGCAGTATCTGGACTTAGTATCTATTGAACCAAGGCTTGGACAATGGCAAAACCAAAGTGATTTGAGGACATCAGCAATAAAACTGGTCTTGGATTTGTAATCACTGAAAATTCCTTGGCACTTGTCAAAAGATTTAGAAGAATGTTAACATTGTAATTTTACATATTTATTTGGTCCTACTGCCTTAAGTACTTCTCTACACTGTAACTTCATTTAACTACAAGATTTTATTCTTACTGTAATCCTCAGACCTGAATGTGATGCTGCATTTAAAAAAGCTTCCATTGCCTGAAGAATAATTTTCTTCACAGCACTGGTCCCAATTTTATTTACCCATTATATTTTCTTTTTTGCAATGATTTGATTTACATTTGTTTCCTCTACTAGACTAAGTTCCATGAGAACAGGAAGCAAGTTTTTTTTTTTATGATGACTGTTATATCAGAAGTTCATAGCATAGGGCTGGGCACATAATAATCCTTCATTAAATATTTGAAGGAAGGAATGGATGGAGTTTTGCATTGTTACATGCTATGATTATCATGGTTAGTCAGCTTAAACCTACTTCCAACACAGCATATTTGCTCTTTAATATGAATGTTTTTTAATTCAGGAAATTTTATAGCTCTAGTCTATCTATGTAGGACCATTAACAATCAAAGTGTCTCAACTCCATTAGTAACTAAGAAGACCTCTAAAGTTTTGTCTTACTTCTCTATGTTGCTGTTGGAATTAATAATGGAACTTTCAGTGTAATAAATTAAAGGTGAAATCATTAAGAGCTAGGAAAGAGGTCCCAGCAGTGCATGCAGGGATGTGTGGAGCAACCCTCCACAGCAGGGCAAAGTGGAGATGCAGATGGGAACGCCACCCTGGTCCCTGGAACTGCACTGCTACTTGTGCCTGTACTTGAGCATAGCCTCCTCTGCAGGGCACCTTCCAAACCCTTCATGATGATGGAGCTACCCTGGAGACTGTCATCACATCCTGCTGCCCTTCAGGCCACCAGATGGTGGAGCGGGTGCCCAGTGGTCTTCAGGGATCTTGTGTGCTAGCCTTCCCCACCATAGGAGACCTTATGCTTCAAGGCTGCAGTGATTGCCGCCAGTGCCAGCTGTACCAGCAGCCTGCTTGCCAGGGCCTTCCTCACCTATTGCCTCGTGAAGTACATGCAGAGGAGCAAGCCTTGAGCCTTGGTGCTCCCACAGGGCCATCCAGCTCAGCCTAAACAGCCTGAATAATGACAGCAACACCATAACAGTTACTGAGCCATGAGGCTCAGCCCAACCAACGTAGACAAGGACCCGGAACTTGGCACTCTGAACTCTCCCCACAGCTGGCAGCAGTGCATGGGGCGCCTTGCCTGCTCCAGGCTGCAGGAGTGCCTAGCCACCCTACCCTCTACACCTTGAGGGCCAGGCCCATCCCACCAGGTCATCACCTCCATCTCAACATATGCCCAGCTCCAGATTGATCAGGAAAATCCATGTCCAGGCTTAGGGATCCTTCAGGACGAGCTGACTGATGTCCATGGCTGGGGGGCCCAATCCCTGGGGGAGCTCGGTGATAGTGGTTTTTATGGCTTGAAACACAGCTGAGGTCACTATGGCAGCTGCAGCCTCCCTCCACCTGGTGTCCTTTAAAGATACTGGGGGACATTTTAAGCAAATCTAGTTTTTCTGTGGCAGAGTAGGAAAACTGCAACAAACTCCCCAGCAATTACAAATGGCTGCCTGGGCACATTCCTCCCCAAAGTATGCTGTTTCTTAGTGGAGACCCAGCAAGGGTCACGCATTCGTGATGTCAGTGAATGCTATGAAAGAAATAATTCCTCCCTCCCTTCCTAGATTTTATTTGTTTGCTTTTAGAGAGAGGGGAAGGGGATGAGAAAGAAAGGGAGAGAAACATCGAGTTGTGGTTTCCTCTCACACACCCCCAGCTGGGGACCTGGCCTGCAACCCAGGCATGTGCCCTGACTGGAAATCGAACCAGCGACCCTTTGCTTTGCAGTCCGGTGCCCAATCCACTGAACCACATCAGCCAGGGCTTATATAAAGATGTTTTAATTTCTTCTGAGTAATAAATATATCTAAGTACAGGTATACCTAATATATCTTGGTTAATAGGAGTAGAATTGCTGGATCATATGATAACTTTATATTTAACATTTTAAGGAACTGCCAAACTGTTTTCAGAGTCACTAAGCCATTTACATTCCTATCAGCAAAGTATGAGGCTTCCTGTTCCTCCACATCCTTGCCAATACTTCTTATTGCTTGTCTTTGATTATAGCCATTTTAGTGCATGTGAATTGGTATCTTCTTAAGTAGTCTTTTTTTTTTTTTTTTTTTTTAAAGAGAGAGAACGAGAGGGGAAGGGAGAGAAAGGAACATCCATGTGAGAGAGAAACATCAATTAGCTGCCTCTTGCACACACCCTAACTATGGACTGAACCCACAACCCAGGTGTGTGCCCTGGCTGGGAAGTGAACCCACGACCTTTGTTTTGCGGTATGATGTCCAACCAACTCAGCCACACTGGTCAGGGCCTTATCATATAGTCTTGATTTGCATTTCCCTAATGACTGATGACCTTGAGCATTTTAAAAGTACTCAGTAGTCATTTGTATGTTCTGTTTGAAGAAATGTCTGTCCAAGTCCTTTGCCCATTTTTAAATTGGATTATCGTCTCTTTGTTGCTGAGTTGTACGAGTTCTTTATATAGTCTAAACCCAAGTTCCTTATTAGCAATAGTTGTAGATAGTTTCTCTAACTCTGTGGGTTGTCTTTTTACTTTCTTGAGGGTATTGTCTTCAACACTAAAATTTTAATTTACATTTTCTTTTGTCATATATACTTTTAGTGTCATGTCTGAGAAACCATTGTTTACTCAAGGTTACAAAGACTTACTACTTTGTTTCTCCTAATAGTTTTGTACTTTTTCTGATCTGTTTTGAGTTTATTGTTATATGTGATCTGAGATGAGGGTCCAGCTTCATTCTTTTGCATGTAGCTAGCCAGTTGTCCCACTGCCATTTATTGAAAAACTCTCTTTCCCATGGAATATATTTTGCTTTTATTTTTACTAGTTTCACTGCGGTATTTGTATTTTCAGGGTATGCAGACAAACCCTAGTTGGCTACATAATGTACAGATTTTCAGACCCTTCCAGTGATGTTATTGAGACATGGATACATATTAGGTAAAGAACATTTGTGCCATCTGGTGGACAATGGATTAAAGTATAACACAGGCTCTTTAGGTCAGGTTGCCTCTCTATTTGCACACACCCTTATAAGAGAGGCAGTCATCAATGCATTGAATTGGTAGTTTAAGAAGTCTGATTTAAAACTTTCAGTTTTATTTTCCCATGATCTCACTTTTTGTGCCAGGGAAGTTAGTTATTTTTAGCCAAATTGATAGATATCAGGTAACCGTATTCAACTTGTTGGTTTTATTTTGTGGTCAGCCAGTCTATTCCAAAAGTGCCATAATGTAATGAGCCCATCATCTCTAGGGAGTCTTTGGAAAATTGAGAATCAAAGTTAAGCTGTCATTAATTTGAGGGTTGCCTGAGCTTTATTATTTTATTGAGTTAAGCCCTTTGATGGAAATACCCTCTTCCCCCATCTAATCTCTTTATTTCCTCATTTATTTTGGCATCGCCATTTGATATTCTGCCCCCAGGGAAAACAGAGGATACCACCAGATTCTGGAGAAAATGGGTCCTCTGAGTTATTGCTCAATTTCCAAGGGAACTAGGAAATTTAAAGATTTTATAGCAGTCAATCCTGAAGGCAACATATTTTAATTGCTTATAGGGCATTGAACCTTTGGTTCTCTTCCTGACTCCTTTGTACATGCAGCCTTTAAAGCACCCTTAGCTTCTTAGGGGAGGTAAACCATAAATGAACCCTGGCTGGGTGGCTCAGTTGGTTGGAGTGTTGGCCCGTGTGTACACACACACACACACACACGTTGCAGGTTCGATCCCTGGTGGCTCAGTTGGTTGGAGTGTTGGCCCGTGTGTACACACACACACACACACACACACACACACACACACACACACACACACACACACGTTGCAGGTTCGATCCCTGGTCAGGGCACACGCCTAGGTTGCAGAGCAAGTTTGATCGCCAGTCACAGCACCATACTGGAGGTAGCCAGTTGATGTTTTTCTCACATCCATAGTTCTCTCTCCCTTCCTTCCTCTATAAATCAATAAAAATATCCTCAGATGAGGATTTAAAAAACAAAAACAAACCTTAAATGAAATATGAATTGACACTGTTATATAACTCAACAATGTTATGAAACTCAAGCAGAACTTCTCTTCTACCCTTTCTGCACTCTGAGAGGATGAATAAAATGCTAATTCAGGTGACAGTTTTTACCAAATGGCAATATGTCCATACGTAGTGTTCACCTTAAATGAATAGCCAAATATGTTTCCAGAAAAATGGGTTCACTAGAGAACAACAAGAAATTGCAGTTTGAGACATTTGGTCTAATGGCAAACCATGGGCAACAGAGAAACAAAGGAAAGAACCACTCTTTTCTGGACTTAGGAAGGGCTGTTGTAAATGAAGAGTCCTTGGGAGGACACTGAAAGTTGGAAGAATAGTGAGACTCCCATTGGCTGAGCTGTTAGTGTGCAAGAAGGACTCTTCTTCCTGCTGAACGAGTGAAGTAGTATCACCTCTGTCAGAGATGCAAGGTACCTGCTGTCTCTTCTGCTGGGGTTCGTAGTGTGCATTGAGCGACATGTGTGAGAGTTCTCCCCCACCCTCCTGCCTTCATTTAAATGAAGTTTCTGTTTATTAATTTTCATAGTAGATATTTTGTGATTGTTTTCTTATTTACAACCTTGGACAATAATAGGATATATTCAGTTCTGTAATAGTGTGGCTTTGAAGTTCACAGTTTGAATCTACAGTTTGTTTTTTAACAAATTAATTTTTATTTTGAGATCTGAAGAGTCTGAGCAAAATTTCTAGGTATGTTATGCAGTGGGTTGAAGTGTACTGTTTATGGGTTGAGCTCCAAGGGGCTGTCACCTCCTGAGTCATCTCAATCCTCCTACGTGTCTCGGTTTTTCTCCCCGGCTGTCTAATACAACCATGAGGACTCAGACTGCGAGGTAACCAACCTTCATGTGCATGTCCCTGAACGAGTCGCTTATTGGAATTCCCTATGGGGATCCTGCACATCGTGAGGGATACCCTCTGACATAGATTCTTAGTCATCTAAGAATACTTGAGATTTGAGCCGGAGGAAGGAAGTGCCCCTTTGGAGCCAAATGAGTTCAGGCTCTCAGTTATCCAGCCAAACATTTTGTTCAGACTCTCAAAAAACCCGCTGGAGAAAGAACAGGGCGGGGGAAGCCACAGGCGTATCCAAGAAAAAGAGAGCACCTGTTTTTTCTCCCTTAAGTTGTTGATATAAGTGAGTTTAAACACGACAGAGAAAAGTTTCATCAGATCCCTTGATAGGCTACCTGTGGCCAGGAGTCTATTAGCTCTTTAAAAGTCTAAGAATCTGGTTTTGACAGTGAATCTAGATGTAACATGTGACACCTAGCTCTTTGGCTTTCCTTTTCTAGACCACGAACACACTAGTCAAACTCACAACAGTCAGTTCTGAAAGCAGACATCAATTCATTAATTTACAATGAGAACTCTAACTCTTCCAGTGTGCATTCAACTCTACTGTACATGATTGTCTGTTCTTGGGAATTTGATGCCGAAGAAGTTAAACTGAAAATTAGAAGGCTGATTGGAAAGCAAGGGATCAGAGGAAGTGAAATTAGAGCATACTGATGGATAGTCAGTTCATCAAGACCTTTTATAGTTTCTTGTGCTCAAAGTGAGTAAGCTCTTCCAGTAAAGAAAATATTCATGTCTACCAAATTTAGTAATTTCTCTTTCTTGGACAGGCTGGATAAACTCTGTCAATTCTAGCTCTTTGGTTTCCCTTTTCTAGACCACAAGCAGAATACTCCTTTTCTATAGAACAGTTTTTCTTTACATATGTTGATAGGAGTAGCTGTTGCCTGTGTTATTGTTTCATCCGTTGTTTCACAGTTAGGAGACTATATGTAGATAAGAGGTGGCAATTTCTCATGTCTTTATACTTCATATTTACCGTATCTTCAGGCAGGTTGCCTCTTATCTATTATACAAGACTTCCTAGTTGCTAGAAGAACTTTATCAGTAAGTTCTATGAGGAGGTCCTCATTATAGTCTCCTGTGTATTTAGTGTTCCTGGTACATTAAGGTCCACCTATTCATTTTAACTCATGAGTCTCAAAATAATCTCAAAAACCCCAGTTATTCCTTCCCATCTTGCTCTAAGTTCTCTATTCATTCTTAACAGTATAGTCCATTTTGGCACATTATCTTAGGTCCCCAGTCTTTTTCTTATACAGTAAGTCCTCATTTAATGTCCTCAATAGGTTCTGCAACTTTAAGCAAAATGGTGTTTAATAAAACCAGTTTTACCATAGGCTAATAGATATAAACAAGAGTTAAGTTCCTATGCATCCCTTCAACATTATAATGAAACAAGTTATTCAAGGACCTGCTATAAACAAGGTTGGATAAAAAAGAATAGTCCTATTTCTTCTGTGTGTTCTGAATTTATCTGCAAGTTTTCATCAGGCCAGTTTAGGAAAAGCTCATTTCCTTTCCTATAGATAGTCTCACCCCTTGGAGTAGTAACTCTTCTTGTTAGTGGCACTTTTTAAAGGCAATATTAATAAATAAAAGTAAATAGATGGCTTTTTGCCTAAGAAACAATAAAGTAGGATATAATATTTTTGCTTTTAAATAATGGCTTAATTTTTTAGCTTGGGACTTGGAACTTTCCTACTCTGAGATATCCCTGATCCATAATAATTTCTATGTATTATAAGGCCTTATTTGTGAAAGCTTAAAAATAATGTATGTACCAGTACCTTCCTTTCCATCTTATTGGGTATTTTTCTCATAGTATCCCATACTTTTTTCTTGACTTTTCTTACTACCATGTTCCTTATCTTCTTTTATCCATAGAATTGATTGCTTTCTATTTGGAATGTTCCAACTGCTATTTTTTTCCCTTCTTGCCCTTGGTCCTAATTTGTTTGATTAATAAGTAAAAGTGAGCAAGAAAGCAAGTTATTATTCTTTTGCTAATTAAAACATGAAAATAATTTGGGGTTTAGACTATAATAAATGTTATTTTTTTTTTCAATCACAAAAATAAGAAAAGTTAAAAATATAGACAACTAGAAAGCCCTGGCCAGGTGGCTCAGTTGGTTGGAGCATCGTCCCGTACACCAAAGGTTGTGGTTTGATTCCTGGTCAGGGCACATGCCTAGGTTGTGGGTTTGATCCCTAGTCAGGGTGTGTACGGGAGGCAACTGATCAATGTTTCTCTCTCACATCAATGTCTTTATCTCTTTCTCTCTAAAATCAATAAACATATCCTCAGATGAGGATTTAAAAAAAAGAAAAAGGAAATTAATTATTTATATTCTACCACCCAAAGAATTTTTTTTGTGTTCTTTTATCTTTTACCCATGCTTATGTGTTTATATAGCTTAAAGTTGTGTTGATGATAATAATAATATGATAGTTACTATCCATATTTTAAGTAGACTTGGATCATGGTCTTTAACTTGGTTAGGAATGCATTTGTATCATTAATAATATAGGTGGTCTATAATATTATTTTTTTTTGTATTATTAACTTTGGTTTTGGAGGCAGGTTTATACATACAGTAAGATGTTCAAAGTGTACTAACCCTAAATCTTCATGTGGATGATTTTTCACATGTACATACACTCAATAACAACAGCTCAGTTCATGATAGAGAACGTTTTTATGACCCTATAAGGTTTCTTCTTGCCACTTCCCAGGAAATTGCCCCTGCCCCACAACAGTCACTCTCTGATTTCCATCACCTTCAGTTAGTTCTCTTTGCCTTTTCTTGGACTTGATATAAATGGAATCACCCAGTATATACTCTTTTGTGTCTGGCTTCTTCCACTCAGCACAGTGTCTGTTTTTGGAGGGGGGGTGGGAGGGAGGTCCCTCCCGTGTTGTAGTATATATCACTAGTTTAATTTTTTTTGTTGATGTGTAAAATTCCATTCATATGATGATACCACAGTTTATTAACTCTCCTCTTGATGGATATTTGGGCTGTTTCTAATTTGGAGCTATTATGAGTAAAAATTCAGTAGTCCTTTTGAATCCAAGGAATAGAAAATCATATTTTTCTTCATTGGCTCCCACCCGCCAGCCCTTCAGTTACTGCAGATCTCACCATGAGAAAATCGTATTTTTACTCAATGTTATTCCACAAAGTTTACACAGTAAAATAATAGAAAATAGTGAAAGAAACACAGAAAATTAAAATAAGGATAAAATACTAATGCCTGGGCAGATAAACACAGTATCCAATCTGTCAGGTCTAATAAATATTTATTAAGTAAATGAATCCTTGTCCCTGTTTGTGCCTCAGTTTTCTCATTTTGTAAGTGGGAAAATTAATTCACAAGGATTTGGTGTGAGAATCAGCGAAGCACTGTAAATATTCAAAATAAATATGCCTTATCATAACTCTCCTGGCTATAATATCCTTTTTTCCTAGAGAGCACTGTTGGAGAAGAAACAGAGAAAAAAGCGCCTGGAGCCACTCATGGTGCAGCCAAATCCAGAAGCCAGGCTACGTCGGTCAAAGCCAAGAGGTTGTGAGGAGCAAACTCCTTTGGTGGAACCTTATACCCCTCACAACAATGTCATCCTTCATGGTGTGTATTTAGGCAGCATTTCTTACTTTTAGGGTACAGTTTTTATAAATCCAGAAAAAGACAGGAGGATTCTTAGATGGATCAAAGGAATAGTATTAGTATTGTCATTAGGTACCTTCATAAATTTTTATAATCAAATTCTGGGTCTTTGAGTTAGAATGAAAGTAATGGTCTAATCAGTAGAAGATACTGTGAAGTTTATGTCCACCGTAGAACTGTTATTTTTATTTATTTTTAAAAAAATATTTATTTATTTTTAGAAAAAGGGAGGGAGAGAAACATCAATGGGTGGTTGCCTCTTGCCCATCTCCAACTGGGGACCTGGCCCACAACCCAGGCATGTGCCCTGATTGGGAATCGAACTGGTGACCCTTTGGTTCACAGGCCAGCATTCAGTCCACTGAGCCACACTAGCTAGGGCTAGAACTGTTATTTTTAGATGCCAAATGAACTAGTCCAAAATAATCTATTTGAGGAGCAGAGTTAACTTTGAAGCCAGGAGTAGGTAGAGAGCATCCATTCTTTCAATAGATAGACTCAAAGGATCATCTGAGATGATGATAAGAAGAAGAGAGAATAGGATTAAGAACCCCTAAATCAAGCTCCCTGAGCTACTGACTTGTATGGCATCTGAACTTTGGTGGACCTAGTTTGTTTCCACATAAGTTTCTCAAGGAACATCAAGTATGTTTTACTTTACTAAGAGTCAGCATGTTAATAAAATGAACACTAGCCCAGGGTTGCTCTGTTAACAAATGTTCTCGCAGATATTTAGGAAAGAGGAGAAGTGAAATGATTTGGTGGTTCTTAATTCTGATCTCTTATACCAGACCCACATAGCTAAATAGTGGATTATGCTTGCTTTCTTTTTTTTCCCCCTGCTTTTGGCCCCTAGGCATTGATGGTCCAGCTGCCTTCCTGAAGCCAGAGGCTCAAGATTCGGAAACCAAACTTCATGTTCTCTCAGTTGGCTCTTCTGCTGTGGAAGAGGATACTGAAGGAAGTGTTGATGGGGAAAGCACTTTGGATACTGCTTCCAAGCCAGATCTTCAGGAGATTCTCCAAAAACATGGTGAGGATTGGTTATGATTTTAAGGTAGTTTAATTGTCTTAGTCATTTATAATCTTTACTTTCTTTCATTATTAATTAACAATCTAGATGACTCAGCATTGCTTATTATGTGGCCTAGGGCTTTACAGAGGTGACAGTGTTAGGCATCTGTGACATCTGAGAATTAATTGGTCATTGTCAGTGACAGTAGCATTTATCCTATTGCCTAAGAAAAATGATAGTTAAATCAAATGTGAAATATCAGTAGCTTTAGCTACTACATATGACTGTTTCTTTCTTTTTGATATTTTTAGTTCCTACGCTCTTCCTTTGACAAGGCTGACACTCAATACCCATACTATGCTTCCATTTCAGAGTTTATATTGATAAGGGGAAAGATAAATAGCCAGTTTAATGGAAACAGAAATTGGATCAAAATGTATTTAAGCTAATTTTTTTTTACTAGAGCTTACTTTCTGCCAGTTGAGTTACCATTTTCATAAACATTCCCATACATTTCAGAGGTCCTTTTTAGTCTTCTTTCCTTCTTAGAAAAATAATTATATAGGAGAAGGAAGTAAGTGCCCCCTTTTCAGATGAGAAGACTGAAGCCCAACAATGAATTTGGTACCTACTTTGTAATAGGTAGGCATTGCTAGATCCTGTGCTGTGTGAATCAGAAGATTGTACCACAGAATTTTAGAATAGATGTACATTCAAGCAAATTCAGACATTCATTCATTTAGGAGTATATAAATACTATGTATCAGGCATTGTTCTAAGCACCTAGGATACAATAGTAAACATAGTTCCTGCTCCCATGGAGCATTTGGGAAGCTTTCCAGAAAAAGTGATGTCCAAGCTACAGCCTGATTCAGGAAGAGGAGCTGGCAAGTTCAGAATGGCTGCAGCTGAGAGTATGATGTGATGAGGTTTTAGAAGGGGGATGTAGAGATGAGTCTGGAAAGGTAAGTGGGCTCTGATTATATAGGATATTATGGGCTACATTTGGAATTTGGGCTTTATCTGAAGAGTAATAGGAACCAATGAGGGATTTTAAGCTGAGAAATCATATCATCAGATTTGGGCTGTAGATAAATTACTCAGCACCATAAAGTGGGGGTGGGGCAGGCCTGGAAAGCAGGAAAACTACTTAGGAAGTGATTTGGCTGATGGCCTGACCTAGAGTTGTAACGTGGGGTATGCCAGAGTAAAAAATAAGAGAGAAATAGAATTACACTGCCAGGGCAATGAAATAGGGACAAGAAAGACATCAAAGGAAAGTGATTAACTGAGCTGTGAAGGACTCATGTCCTCCTGTGCACTGGTGTCACCTGTGCAGCAGCTGGAGACTGACATTTTGAATGTCTTTTGTATGTCAGGCATTTGACATACATTACCTCAATTAATTTAATATTTGTAGCAGTACTTTGAGGAGTTTATATATTATTAGTCTCTCTTTGTTACGTATAAGAAAATTTGTTCTAAGAAAGAAGCTAAGTAATTTGTCCTAGATCACACTGATAGTTTAGGTGGCAAACTTGGGCAGAAAAAAATAACACGTGTAGAGGCATTAGCTACAAAAACAAGATCTGTTTGTGCAAACTGGGACAGATGAACAGAATATGGGGTGTGGTAAAGACAGTGTAGTGAAATGGATTAGGGCATAATGCTGAGCCAGCTTGCTTGGTTTTGAATCTCAACTCTGCCACATGTGGCTGGAAAAGGAGGAAAACACCTTAACTTTTCTCTACCTTAGTTTCCCTCTCTGTAATATGAATGTGATCATGACACTTCCCTATTACTTTACTATCACTATTATTACAAGAACAGAAAGAACAAAGGGAACTTTTCAGTTTAACAAAAAGTAAGTTATCCCAAGTTATCTAGCTGACTAGTGGGTAGACCTAGACTTTCTGATCCTTAGTCTAGTTCTTTTTCCCTTACTATCTAATTCTTTCTCCTTCACTGCCCTAAGTCACTGTTGTGTTCTTTCTCAGAATCAGCTTTTCAGTGCCAGATACATCAGTGCCTTTTCATGTCTCAACAGTTTGCATATTGCAATAACCCATTAAGTGCACTCTTGATTAGGATCTAAGAAGTGTCAGTTTGGCAGATTATGTCCCTTAAGTGGATCCAATTTGCTTGTCTTACAAAACTTGTTAAGTTCTTGGGAGAAATCTTTGTTCTCCATCTTTTCTCTTTTTTTTTATCCTCATCCAAGGACATGATCATTAATTTTAGAGAGAAGGGGAAGGGAGGGAAAGAGAAAGCAGGGAGAGAAACATCAATGTGAGAGAGAAACATTGATCGCTTGCCTCTTGTACACACCCCTACTGGGCACCAAACCCACAACCTAGGCATGTGCCTTGACAGGAATCAGCCTTGCGATCTTTTCGTTTACAGGACAATGCTCCAAACAATTGAGCCACAGTGGCCAGGGCTGATCTCCATCTTAAGACATGTATCCATATAAACGGAGTTCTTAGTATAGAAATGGCATTTCAAAACATAGTGCTAAGTGAAGCTGCCATATGATAGTGAGATCCCAGGAGCCTTACACCTTTTTGCTACAAAAACAAACAAACAAAAAAGCCCGACAGAATTTTGGAAAACAAAAGAAAAAATGTCCTTTACAAACCAAATAATCCAAATAATTTTTTCTTTTTCTAATCCACACCTGAGGATAGGTTTATTGATTTATTTTTGGGGCTTAGAATAACTTTTATTTATCTGTATTTTAATAGTTTCTTTATTGTATATTTTATTACCATTTAGTCCCCTTATACCTCCCTCCCCTCTGCAATCACCACTGTTGTCCATGTCCATGAGTTGTTCTTCCTTTTTGCTTAAGGCCTCCACCCCTTATCCTCCTCCCCCTTAGCTGTCATCCTGCTTGCTATCTGTGAGTCTGTCTCTATTTTTCTTGTCAATTCTGTTTGTTCATTAGACTCTACATATGAGTGAAATCATATGGTATTTGTCTTTCACCGACTGGCTTACTTCACTTAGCATAATATTCTCCAGTTCCATTCATGTTGTCTCAAAAGGTAGGGGTTCCTTCCTTCTTTCTTTTTTTTTTTTAATGCAGATTGATTTTATTTATTTTTTTTTAAGTGTCAAGATCCATTATAAAATATTAAAAAAATGTAAATCCATTATAAAGTCTCAGCAATTAAAACAACATGACTCCAGCACAGAAATAATCAAGTAGATCTGTGAAATAAAATGAGCATTCTACAAACAAGTATACATATCTAACAATGTAATATATGATTAAATTGATATTTCAAATCAATGGGGAAAATAAGGCTTATTCAAAAAATAGGGTGCATAGACCACTATTACTTGAAATAAAACAAATGTAGAGCCCTATTTCACACATTATACAAAAAGTATTCAGGTGAGTTAAAAATCAGTATGTAAAATCTAAGGGGCTTTAGGAGAAAATAGAAAATAATATTTTTCTTATCCTGAAGTAACATATTCAAACCCAGAAGCTATAAAGTAAGGTATTGACAATATGACCATATTAAACATTTAAGACTATATAGTAATATACATATAAAAAAGTTAAAGGACAAGTAATAGAATAGGAAAGTATTTGCAACACATCTAAAAAAAGGGTTAATAGTTTCTTTTTCTTTTTTAGGGAAAAAAATTCTACAAACATTTAATCAAAAGATGCATAAAGAATACAAAAAAGTCATTTAAAGCTTTTTTAAAAATAATAGAAATAGGCAAGAAATCTACAAAAACAGGTTTGGTTTCAACCAGTAATAAAGTAACAATTAAAATAATATATCATTGTCACAGTCAGATTAGGTATTTAAAATATTGGTAATATCAAGCATTGGTGACTGTGAAAGGAACTGGGTATTTATACATTTTTCTTCTTCATCTTCTTAAATTAGTCCCTTTAGCATATTTTGCAATGCTGGTTTGGTGGAGGTGTATTCTTTTAGCCTTCTCTTGTCTTAGAAGCTCTTTATTTTGCCTTCCATTTTAATTGAGAGCTTGCTGGGTAGAGCAGTCTTGGTTGCAGGCCTTTGGTTTTCATGACTTGGACTGTTTCTTGCCATTCCCTTCTGACTTGTAGTGTTTCTGTGGAGAAGTCAGCTGCTAGCTGTACAGGGGCTCCCTTACATGTTGTTATGTGTTTCTCCCTTGCTGCCTTTAGGATTCTCTGTTTGTCTTTGATATTTGACATTTTAATGATGATGTGTCTTGGAGTGGGCCTCATTGGGTTCCTCTTGAATGGGACCCTCTGTGCTTCCTGGACTTGTGTGACTTTTTCTCTCCTCCAGTTAGGGAAGTTTTCCATCACTACTTTTTCAGACTGGTTCTCCCTTCCTCCTCTTCTTCTCCTGGTATCCCTATTATACGGATATTATTACATTTCAGGTTGTCCTGCATTTCCCTCAACACCTCTTCATTCTTTTTGAGTCCTTTTTCATTTTCTTGCTCTTTCTGGGAGCTTTTTTCCTATCTTATCCTCCAGCTTGTTGATTCAATCCTCTGCTTCCTCTAACCTGCTTTTGATTCCTTCAGCTGTTTTCTTCAATTCAGAAATTGTATTCTTCATTTCCTCTTGTCTCTTATTGATAGTTTCTATGTCCTTCTTCATGCTGATTTAATTCAGCATGTGTGTCTTGATTTCCTGACCTTGTGATGTGAACTTCTATGGTAGGAGACTGCTGTGTTTTCTTTCTGGATCTGCTTCTTATGATGTCAGATGTTGACCCTGTGTGACCTTAGGCAGCCTGTTTGAGACTTTCAGGAATCTATTCTCTGTGGCTGTCTCTTTCGGCTGTTAATGTAGTCACTTTGCACTCAGCAGGCCTGTGTAAAGACACCACACATCGGGGCAGAGTCTCTCCTGAGGGCAGGGTTATTGGGTCCTGTCACGCTGCTGCTCAGGGTCGCATCTGTCCAAACCAGATGGCTGCTGCATGGGGAATGAGTCAGCACTGGGATCCCACCAGCTACTCCCTTAGTTCTCTCCCCAAAGTCTCCTCCTCCAGTCTCTCCTTTGGTGTCTCTACCCCACTCTGCCCCGGCCTTTGCTGAAGCCCAGGGTAAGTGGCTGCAAATAACAATTTATGCGTTGGCCCTTTAAATGGCTCTTTGGGTCTCTAGCCGCTTGTCTCCGCAGAGAGCAACCTTGCCACTTTTCGCAGCTGGCTGTTACCTGTGTACTTTTTGGGTTCTGGGGCTGTAGCCTAGAGATCCCCACTTATGGTTTAGACCTCGTTCTTCTCAGGGGGATCCAACTGTCCATTTCAATATCCTTTTGGTGCTGCCACCCGTGGGTGCCCTACCCACCTTGTAGAGTCTCTACTGCACTCCTTACCAGTTAGGTTGTGCTAAAGCTGCTTCTTCTGTCTGTCTGCGGTTAAAAGGCTCCTCTCTCTCTGTTGTTCAGTTTGTTCCAGGTGATTTCTCCACAATTTAGTTGTGATTCCAGGACAGTCCTGGGAGGAGGTCAGTGTGACTTCCACTCACTCCTTTGCCATCTTGATTCTCCCCAGTAATCATTTTCTATTTCTCATCAATACCCCCAACCCCAGGCAGCTACCAATCTTCTATCTCTGGATTTGCCTATTCCTGGCGTTTCATGTAAATAGAATCATACTCTATGTGGTCCTTTATGATTGGCTTCTTTCACTTAATGTCGTTTTCAAGGTTCATCATGTTGTAGCAGGTATCAGTACTTCATTCTTTTTTATTGTTGAATAACAACATTATATTGTATGGATGGATATGCCGTATTTTGTTTATCTGTTCATCAGTTGATGGACAGTTGTGTTTATTTCCCACTTCTGGCTATTATGAATAATGTTGCTATGAACATACAACACTATTCATTTTGTGTGGAAATATGTATTCACTTGAGATAAATTTTCTAACTGGCCTTTGTCTTATTCTTTGGTATCCTAGAGAAAAGCTAATACCAATTTATTTGTTAACTATGTAAAAAGAGATAATAGTCATCCCCACTTTGAGACTGTTGAATGTGGGCAAGAAATGGTTTGGAGGGAAAAAAAGACACAATGCTTGTTGTTGTCTACTTATAAATTCATGATTTGGGGGCTATTTCAACTATTACATGACAGATAACTTCATCCCATAGACTAAGGGAAAAAAAGGGAATTTATTTTCAGTCTTAGCTCTGCCTCTTTTTCTTGGGCAAATGACTCTCCTCCAAGGCTCATACTCTCACATGTAAATGTGAGTACCATACTTCTTTTATAACACATGTCACACTTTATATTTGTGTTTCTCTCCATAAACACACAAGAAAAAGTAAAAAAAAAATAATATTACCAGTATCTCTTCCTCAAACATATAAATATGAGGATAAAGTAAATACATAGTTTTTAATCAAATAGTTTTAAATTTTCTGCAAGAGGTGCTTCATAAATTCAAAGTAATAGTATTTCAGACACTCTCTACTCAAATTAGTTAATTAGACTAGAAATGAACAAAATTTAGGAGGGGAAGTGACTGATAGAACAGTGGATCATTTAAATTTTTATTGTGGTAAAACATACATAAAATTTATCATTTTGACCGTTTTTAAGTGTGCAGTTTTCTGGCATTAAGTACATTCACATTGTTGTGTAATCATCACCACCACCCCATCTCCAGAACTTTTTCATCATCCCAAAATAAAACTCTGTCCCCATTAGACAATTATTACTCACTCTCCTCTCTCCTCAGCCGGTGGTAACCACCACTCTACTTTCTGTCTCTGTGAATTTGACTATTCTAGGTACCTCATATAAATGGAATCATAACAGTATTTGGTTTTTTGTGTCTGGCTTATTTTACTGAGCAGAATGTCCTTATATTCATCCAGGTTGTGGCATGTATCAGAATTTCATTCCTTTTTATGGCTGAATAATAGTTCCTGTATGTATATACCACAGCCTGTTTTATCTGTTCATCAGCTGATGGATATTTGGGTTCTTTCCACCTTTTGAATATTGTGAATAACACTTCTATGAACATTGGTGTTCAAGTATCTGTTTGAATCTCTGCTTTCAGTTCTTTTGAGTATATACTCAGAAGTGGAGTTGCTGGATCGTATGGTAACTCTATTTATTTTTTTAGGAACCGTCATGTTTTCCATAGTGGCTGCACAGTTTTACATTGCCACTAGCAATGCATGAGGTTCCAATTTCTCCACATCCTCACCAACACTTACTTTGTTTTTTAAAAATTTTTATTTATATTTTGATTGATTTTCTTTTTAAGAGAGAGAGAGACAGACAGATATTGATTTGTTGTTCCACTTACTTATACATTCATTGGTCAATTCTTATATGTGCCCTGACCTGGGATTAAACTTGCAACCTTGGCTCTAACCAACTGAGCTACCTGGCCAGGGCCTGCTTTTGTTGTTGTTGTTGTTTCCTTGATAATAGCCATCCCAGTGCTTGTGAAGTAGTATCTCATTCTGATTTTGATTTTCATCTCTAATGATTAGTGATGTGCATCTTTTCAAGTGCTTATTGGCAATTTATCAATCTTTTTTTGAGAAGTATTTATTCAAGTCCTTTACCCATTTTTGAATTGGGTTGTTTGTTGTTATTGAGTTGTATGAGTTCTCTGTATATTCTAGATATTAATCCTTTATCAGATATATGATTTGCAAATATTTTTCCCAGATACATAATGTTTTAAAGAGCTAAATTAGGGTGGCAGCAGTGGGAAGAAGAGACAAAGGATGCATCTGAGTGAGAATATGAAGAAAGAATTGTCAAAATTTGGATAAAATAGTTGTATTTTAAGTTAGAATAGCTCGGAATGTTTTAAGCAAGAAAACTAAAATTCTCTTTGGTTCAAAGATTTCTTTTTTAAACCAGTTTTGTTGACAGTTCTTCCTTTTCTGCCAGGTATCTCAGGTAGTTTGAACTTTGATGAGGAGACTGATGGGGAGGAAGAAGAAGGAAAAAAATTAAGATCTCATTCACCGTGTTCAGAGACAGAAAGACCCAGTTCTGCGCCCAGCCAGAAATCAACCACAGTATGTAGTTCTGGAATTTCTTCCTTTGGAGCTAATTTAACTATTTCCCAAATATATCTTCAGTACTTAAATACCATTATGGAGTGAGGGTTGCTTCAGAAGTTTTAAGCTCAAGTTTAGACCTCTTCAATTTCTTGCATCTCAAGCCAGCTATTGTGAAGCTATATCCCATTTTCATACTTAGCTCCTTCGTTACTCTCAATATTCATATACTTACTGAAATTCTCAGAGTTTTCCATTATTTTGTCAGAAGACTGAAGACATAGGGATAAATCAATGTTATTTTATCCATTAAGTGTTTCTCAAAGAGAGTATGAGGTTTTTCTGACCCTACCTTGCTCATGTATGTTTATTCTTTCAGGATACAGGAGCTTCTGGTACTTCAGCCCAACAAAATGATAACCAGCTGGGGGAAGTAGAGAATTTAGAGGACTTTGCGTATAGTCCTGCTCCTCGAGGTATCACAGTAAAGTGTCGGATAACCAGGGATAAAAAAGGAATGGATCGGGGTCTCTTCCCTACTTATTATATGCACTTGGAAAAGGATGAAAATCGGAAGGTATAAGAATTGATTCTTTTTATCTTAAATTTGTATTTACTGATTTGAGAGATAGAGAAACATCGATTTGTTGTTGTCCTTTTTTTATGCCTTCACTGATTGATTATTATATGTGTCCTGCCCAGGGATCAAACCCACGACCTTAACATATTGGGACAATGCTCTAACCAGCTGAGCTACCTGGCCAGAACCTGAGAATTGATTCTTAGGACATTTTGAGAGATGGGGGAAGCATGTGGGAGTAGATTGTTGATGGGTCTTGTAATAGGGGAATAGCACTGGTATTACACCAAGGCAGCTGGATGTAAGAGATTGTATTTATTAACTTCCAGGTGCTATGTTCTCGCTGTTTTCCAAGAGTTCATAATCAATAGGGAAAATCTGACCCCACACTAAAGAAAGAGTTTTATTCTGAATGTAAGAAAATGGAAGAGAATATTTTAATGTAATTATTTTTACCTTGGTTCCTTTGGGGGATGGAGGCTGTTATTGTGTGCTCTTTGGTTTTTACTTTTACTACGGTAGAAATGACATTGTGGAAGAAGGAGCAAGTTTTAGGGAATAGGAGAAAATGGAAATATAGAAGAACAGACACGTGAAAAGTCTTGTCTCTACCCTAGAAATTCAAACTAACTTTGTACCTAAGTTTGAGACAGTTTAATATTTACTAATGAACAGTGTATTTTGTATTAATACCAGGTCTAAGTGGATGATTTAAGGATCCTGAAAATTAGATGATTATAGTAGATATCATCATTGTTATGACCACTATTTACTGAGTGTTTATGATGTGCCAGGCATGTGCTAAATGCCTTATTATCACCTATAATCCTTATGACAACCTAGTAAGATAAGATTTATATCCATGCTTTATGGACAAGGTAACTGGGGTTTAGAAAGTGATATCCTGTCCCATATCACACCAGCAAGTGACGGAGCCAGATTCAAACCCACATCTCTTTTATTCCAAAGTCTCCCCTTGGCTACTGGCCATCTTCTGCTTCCTTGTTATTGTCCAAGTCCAGTAGGGTTTAGCAAGAAAGCATAAATGTAAGACTATTTATATCACTGAAGTCACAAAATTTTAAAAAATACACCCCCACCCCCAACAAAATACAAAAAGGAATATTGGGAATGCAGTTGCAGTAAAGAATGGGAAGGGTAGGTATTTAAGATCCTGTCTCTCCTAAAGTTGGAAAGACTCTTATTCATGGAATTGGATGGTGCTTTTTTAAAATGTCACTGGGGGTTTTGGGGATAAAATTGTAAAAAATTATATAGAGAACCAGGCTGGCAAACTTAGAAAAGTTGCACAGTAGGGAAACACTGAGAGTAAATTCTAAGAAGCATTATGAGGGTTGAGAAAAGGGATAAAGATCCACAGATCGGTCTTTTCTGAGAAAACACCAGATAAGCAGCAGTGCTGGGATAGGGTGAGACCCTGGGGCCCTGGAATGGGAGGCCTTGGCAGTTTCTGTTGAAGCTGGGGATCAAGACCATGGAGTTTGTGAGGCAAGGCCGAGGACAAGGAGTGGGTGTCCCTCAGTAAGCTTGGTCCTCTGGTCAAAGACATATCAGGTCCCTGGTGGGGATCTTTCTCTCCTGCCTGTCCATCAAGGAATTTGAGATTATTGATTTTTCTGGGGTCATCCCTCAAAAACGAGGTTTTGAAGATTAAGTTTGTGTACATGTGCAGACCAGGTTCAAGACATTTGTTGCCATTGGGAATTAGAATATACATGTTGACCTGGGCATTACATGCTACAAGGAGGTAGCCACTGCCATTCATGGGGCCATGATGCTGGCCAAGTTCTCCACAGTCCTTGTGAGGTGAGGCTACTGGAGAAACAAGATTTGAAAGCCCCACACTGTCCCTTGCAAGGTGGCTGGCCAGTGTTGCTCTGTGCTGGTGGCCTCATCCCCACTGCCAGGGGCACTGGCATTGTCTCAGCCCCTGGGCCCATGGAGCTGCTGCTGACGGACAGCATCGAGGGCTGCTGCAGCTCGGGCAGGGACCACGCTTCCACCCCAGGCAACTTTGCCAAGGTCCCCTTTGATGCTGTCTCCAAGACCCACTGCTGTCTCGCCCCCAACCTCTGGAAAGAGACCGTGTTCACCAGGTCTCCCTCGCAGGAACTCTCTGTCTATCTTGTAAGGACCCGGACCAGAGTCTCCATGCACAGGACCCAGCGGCCAGCTGTGGCCACCACAGTTTTATACAGGAAAAATTAAAGTGAATTAAGCCTGTTTAATAATAATAAAAATATTTGACTGCTTGGTACTGGATAGGCATTGCTCAACATTTACTAAGTGAGTAGGCAGAATGAACCATAGTGATTCTCTTGACTTCATTTTTGACTGACTTTTTTTTTTCCAGATATTTCTTCTTGCAGGTAGAAAGCGAAAAAAGAGCAAAACATCCAACTACCTTATCTCCACCGATCCAACAGATTTATCTCGTGAAGGAGAAAGTTATATTGGCAAACTCAGGTGAGAGCATCCTTGTATCACTGTCCTATTCTTTCTTATACTTTTCATTCCTGTTGAAAAAATAATATAAATGGAGTCACTTTAAAAATGAAGTCAGGGTCCTGGCCAGTATGGTTCAGTTGGTTGGAGTGTTGTCCCGTAAATCAAAAAGTCATGGATAAATTTCTGGTCAGGGCACATACCCAGGTTGCAGGTTCAATCCTTGTTCAGGGTGCATAGGAGAAGGCAGCCAATTGATGTTTCTCTCTTACAGTGATGTGTGTGTCTCTCCTTTTCACTCTAAAAGCAATGAAAAAAATGTGTTTGAGTGAGGATTAAAAAAAAAGAAGAAGAAAGGAGTTGGAGCTGCCATCCCAGAGGAATTGACTTGTATGTCTTATGCCTCAAACCTTTGGAATGTTAAAACTGGACGAAATAACCTTTGTCATCGGCCGAAAAATATATTGTGCAAAGATAAAAAGAAAGCAGATATGACTACCAGACTGATGGCTATAGGACTAAAAATTGAAAACATTATTTAGAATTAGTGTCACTATGTTTACTTATATGCACCAATAGCAATGCCTTACTTGTATTGATGTAATTGTTTTCCTTCCCTTTCTCATAAATAACTCTTGCCTCTGTCTCCTAATTGGAATACTATTTGGGCTTCTGCCTGAATCAGTGCTTTCTGAATAGCTATTCATTTTTTGATCTCAAATAAATTCTTGTTGCCTCTCACTTTGGCCTTTTATTTTTAGGTTAACACCGTAGTTTCAGGACAACCCATATCTTTGTCACAATGAGCATGTATTAATATTATAATCTAAAGACAAAGAAGTTAAAAGAAAATCTAAGTTCTTTCTTTGTTTTAATCAGAGATCTTTGAAAAAGTGATGAGGAACACTTAGACATGTGGAGAATAGGCAGATAAGCTTCCATTCTGTTATGTACCTCTCCTAGATTATGTAAGAGAAAAAAAATACAGATCATTATGGTGACTTTTTCTTTTGATTCTAGATCCAACCTCATGGGGACCAAGTTTACAGTTTATGACCATGGTGTCAGCCCAACCAAGGCCCAAGGTCTGGTAGAAAAGGCCTACACCCGGCAGGAGCTGGCAGCTATCTGTTATGTAAGTGCTATCCTTGGAAGTACTCTCTTCCTTAATTTCCTGGAAGTCCTGCTAACACTTCAAACTTACAACCTACGCTGAACTTACTGTCTTCCCTCCCAAGCTTGTTTCTATTTCTGTGATCCCCCTTTTCTCTTGCTGAAATCATTTTCTCTATATGTTCAAGTTTTAATTATTTATGAATTGCCAAGTTCATTTATTTTTTTACTGTTTTAATATGTCTTGTCTTATCTGCTCTTCTCTTTTCCTAATGCCACTGGATTAACACAGACCTTCATTACCTCTTAACCTATTGGCCAGAGGCTACAATAAATTACAAACTGATCTCTTTGCTTTTAGTCTTTTTCTATATATCTGTACTGCTGCCAGACAAATCTTCCTTAAACAGAACTCCAGTTGATCCTGTTGTTCTTCTGCTTCAAATCTTTTATGACTACCCACTGTGTACAGAATAAAATCCTTTCCTTTCAGACTGTTCTAGCAGCACTCTGCCTGCCCATTCCTATCATTCTGCCCACAACTGCCCTTCCTCCTGTTACCCTTTGCTCCCCCATATGATCTTCCCTCTCCTGAGAACCTTCCCTATTTTCCCTTATCCTTTGCCATATCAACTGATGTCATCAGAGAAGTCTTTTCTGACTACTAGATGTGGTTGATATTCCTTTGTATACATCCCCATGGCACCTGGTGCTTCCTCTCAGAGTTAAGTAAAAGAAAGCAGGAAGGAATTAACCCATCTCAGTTGTTGCTTGATCCCAAAGTCTCAACATTTTAACTCTGCATGACTGTCGTGTGAGTGTGGGTATGTATATGAATACATATACAAACATATATCCACATACAAGGGGGGAACCAAAAACCCCCAGAATTTATTTATAAAAAATTTTGTATTTATTCTCACGTTTAAACTTCAGTCACCTTCAAAGTACTTTGATGCAATCCACCTATCGAGATGTTTTTTCCACTGCTCAAAACAGTTTTTGAACTCATTGATTTTGATGCCTTTTAGTGCTTCTGCCATTTTTTGTTTCATGTCTTTCACATTGGCAAAATGTTCCTCTTTGAGGACTGTTTTCATGTGGGAAACAAAAGTCACTTGGGATTCAATTGGGTGAATAGGGAGGGTAGGGCACAAGGGTCATGCCATTTTTGGTCAAAAACTGCTGAACTCTGAGCACAGTATGGGTAGGTGCACTCATAAATCACCCATCATGAAATGGGCAAATGCTAGAAGGAGTCTTCCAAAAAATTCACTGAAGCTGAACACAGCCTCTCACGACAATGCCAGCTGGTACCCAATACCATCCTAGGACTCTTATGTAGTGGAGGAAGCCTGTCTTATAAGGAGCCCACTCTCCAAGAAGACAATCCTGGGTTTTTTTGGATCCTCCCTCATAGTTACTGTACTTACTTTATTCATATATAATTTGCCTGGCTTGACTGGCATTTGAGTTTTTTACCTCCTAATACAGGCCCCATTTAATTTACACTGTAATTTTCACTGTAGATCATAACAGTGCCATGCCCTCTTTGGGAAATAAAGATTTATTTATTTATTCTTAATTTTTTAATTCTTACCCAAGGATATCTTTACTAATTTTAGATAGAGAGAAAGCGAGGGAGGTTGGGGGACAGAAACCTTGATCAGTTGCCTCCCATACACACCCTGGCTGGGAAATCAATCCTATAACTTAAGTATGTGCCCTGACCAAGGATCGAACCGACAACCTTTTGGTGTGGGATGATACTCCACCCAACTGAGCCACCCGGCCAGAGCTGGAAACAAATACTTACTGATTACAAAACAGGACCGTTTGCTCACAGTTGTCTCAAAGTTCATTTACGATTAAGGAATAAGAGTAAATTTTCAAGCCAATAGAATCTATTTCAGGTGTTCAAATTAGATATAAAAAGAGGAATACAGATCATTACTTTCCTTGTCTTAACTCTCTGTCTCTCTTTAACTATAGTAATAATAAAATAGCCTTTTAGTGCTCTTGATGTTATCAACATTTTATATGCCCAGGTAAGTCTTGCATCAAAAATAATGGTCTTGGCCCTGGCCAGGTGGTGCAGTTGGTTAAGAACATTGTCCTGACATGCCAAGGTTAAGGGTTTGATCCCTGGTCCGGGCACATACAAGAATCAACTAATGAATACATAAATAAGTGGAATAACAAATCAACATTTCTCTCTCTCCCCTCTCCCTTGCTTTCTCTAATAGAGGGGGAAAAAAGAATGTGGTCTTGTTTTCCTTTCTGTTTCTTAGTTCTGTCTTACTTACCTATCTTCCAGGAAACAAATGTACTTGGATTTAAAGGTCCTAGGAAGATGTCTGTGATCATTCCAGGGATGAATATGAATCATGAACGGATCCCATTTTGGCCACGAAATGTAAGAACATATTTAATCAGCAAACGACTCTAAAAGACCAGAATACAGTACAGAAGAGATCCATCTAAAACCCCAAACTGGAGTATTGCTTATAGTCTTCTTTAGGAGATCCATAACTCCAGAACCTCAGGATAAGTTACAGACCAGTTGCTAGAGTGCTTGATTTGCAGCCAGTCTGCAAAGACAAATGCTAGATAATCTGTAAGAATCAAAAAACCCAGCTTAATTGTTGACTTTGTTTCTGTTTTACCCTTTCTGAAATGGAAAAAATATTTCTGTACTCTACCTTCTCCCACACAGAGTTGAGAATGAATGGTTTCTTACAGTTCTCATTACAAAGTAATGATTTTCCTTTCAAACAGGACCATGAGAGCCTGCTATCAAAATGGCAAAACAAAACCATGGAGAACTTGATTGAGCTGCACAACAAGGCCCCAGTCTGGAATGACGACACTCAGTCCTATGTCCTGAACTTTCATGGCCGGGTCACTCAGGCTTCTGTGAAGAACTTCCAGATAGTCCACGAAAATGACCGTAAGCCACAGGAAGGGCTGGATGGGAACAGGGGGAAGGATGTTCTTACACAGTGGGGAAATGAGCATTTCCTATCATTGATAGGAAACTATATTCAGGAGAGAATTATCTAAGAAAGAAATGACAAAACAACAGTTTTACAGTAAAACTTCTGAACTACTATGTTGAGGAGGACCGAAGAGTGTGAGGCTGTTTGGGAAGCAAATGCAAATGACCCTCCCTCAATAAAGGTTCCTTGGCAACTGTAGCTCGTGAAGCTTGTGCTGTCCCCAGCAAGCTACTCTTGACTTTTCTCTTCTCTTTCCCTTTCATGCTGGTCGGGAGTAGCCTCTCATTCTCTGTAGTTGACACCTGCTGATTACCTGGCCTATTTGGAGGGTTTTTTCTTCTGTTATCTTAATGGGCTTTTTCCTAGTACAACCACATTATCTTCTAACATATTTTCTCTGTGTTTCTAGCTGACTATATAGTCATGCAGTTTGGACGTGTGGCAGATGATGTGTTCACCTTGGATTACAACTACCCACTGTGTGCACTTCAGGCCTTCGCTATTGGGCTTTCTAGCTTTGACAGCAAGCTGGCGTGTGAGTGAGACAGAAAGCACACGCAGAGCTGGACTTTCTTGCTACAGAGCATTCAGGAGCAGGTAGTTGCCTCCCTTGCTCTTGGCCCAGGACATGAAGAGAGACAACCTGCCCCTTTTGGAATAACCCCTGAATGTGTGTATGTATGGGTGTATATACATATATGTATGTGTGTACATATGTACACACGTATGCACACACACACTTCTCTGGCTCTCACAGACCTGGTCAGGGATTACAGTTTAACATTGGTGAGAAATTATCAAAGTACAAGAAGGTTCTTGTCCAGAGCACATTGATGACTCCTCAGGTTATTGCCTCTAACAGATTCTGTGCCTCAAGGGTCAGATTTCTTGGAAATTTGCAGCTAGAATCAGGTTCTAATAATTAAATACTGGGGTCTCTTTTTTGAAGAACTTTGCAGAGAGGGACAGTTCCCTACATTGACTTTAGTCTCTAGGTCTGCAGACTTTCTCTCGTAAAGGGCTGGATAGTGTCTCTGACAACTACTTGGCTTTGTCATTGTAGTGCAAAAGTAGCCATAGCCAGTTCATACATCAGCGAGGGTGGCCTTGTTTATTTACTTTATTTACAAAACCAGGCAGCAGCCAGATTTGGCCTAAGGGCCATAGTTTGCCAACCTCTGCTTCAGGTATATCTTTGTACTCTCTGGACTTGGGCATTTCCAAAATGGGCTGCTAGTCATGCAGTGAGTGGTATAAGTGGGAAATGGATAACTCTAGAAAGCAACAGTCCTACAGATTGGATCCAGAGAGGTACTCAGCTGCATTAACAGTTAACAAAACATTACTTGTTCTGCTGACGATGGTTTCTAGAGTGTCGTTTATCATCAGAACTGGAAAACCCCAAAGTCTGTGATCATTTTGAGACCACACAGGTGGCTTAATACTCCTAACCTACCCAACACACCCATGGGAGAACACATGCCAGCCACTTTACCTACCGTAAGAGAAGAACTTCTGCTGACTAGGAAACAAATCTAGAATTGTATTGTCTTTATGACAGGGAGTGTAGTATTTGTTTCTTAGAGCTAGCTTGTTGTCCTCGTGGTGCTTGGGCGGTACTGACATCACAGTCCCCCTCCTCCTTCAGAGTAGATTGGCTGGCACCAATCTCAGTCAAAGAGCCTATGGCCAAATTTGTGATCAGTGATGTGAGAATTTTATATAATTATCTTAATTTCAGTTCAGTCTGAAAACATAAACTCAAGAGGTGACTCAGCCTATTTAAGACTGAGAGTAATTTGACAGTTGCCTTCATTTTCAACCCAGGAGTGCCTCCCACAGCTGTATTAATCTTGAGCTATGGTACAGAGGGACACACACACCTGTAGACCGTGTACGAAGTAAGAGATCCTTATGTATCGACACTTTCATTGTTGTTATCAAAAGAGGTGGCAGGAGAGGCTTGGTGAGGACCAGCTATCTGACTCCTGAGCTCAGCAGACCTTGTTGGGCAGAACGTTGGGTCTTTGTTCTTGACATAAATATTATCAGCTTCCTAAAGCCTGGTTCATTGGTACAGATGAAGCTCCTGTATTCCTCATAGATTACGAGTTTTGCTAAGTCATTCAGGTTATTAGCATCTCCCAAGAAAATATGACTCTGCTACCAGCTCGGCGGTCTCCTAGAGTATACCTGAATCTTGAGAATCCAATAACTTTGTGAGTTCTGCATTCAGCGTTGCTCAACACCCAAGCCTTTGTGCATTGAGCCATTTGCCAGTATGGGGTTTCCCTTCTGTGGACTCTCTTTTTGTCTCTGCTTCCTATTGTTCCATTCTCCATATCAAAGAACAATGTGAAAGAAGGAGGTCTGAGACATGAAAAGTCCCTTGGCTCCTCCCCACTGGAAAGTCCTGTGTGATGTGTTTTGATGTGATTGGTTCCCATCTCAGGCATGCTTCCCATCAAGTGCCTCCTTCATAGAAGTACCCAAAGCCCTTCAGACCTCTGGCACCACCTTCCTCATGTACTGTCAAATGAGCTGCCCTCCTTAAAAACAGAAAGCTGTTCATTTATGTCTGGTTACAGTAATTGACAACATCTGGAGAAGGGGAGCCTTGTGGGCTGACCAGATCTAATCCTGCTGCTTCCTGCTTGCCCTAGCTCAGAGATTTTATACTCCAGCTTTGTGTGCTTGTTGCTTGGATGTGCAGGTGATTGGTTTTACGTAAATCATATTTATACCTTTTGTATGGTACAGAAATAAAAAATACTTTATATAAAAATGGAAGTGTTGCCTTTCTTCTTTCCAAAGCCCCATTTCTTACATAGTTCCTACCGTCACCCCTTGGCAACAGTGAACTAATCTTCAAGGAAGTATCACCATAAGCTCTCATCCCAGAGTTGAACGGGAACCTGGAGATGGAGAAGTCTGCATTCCAGAGACTGTGTACTCATCATACACATGTCACCAAGAATTTTCTGGACAGATGATGAAGCCAAGAGCCAAGCATAGAGGGGGCCACAGAAGGGTAGTATTTATCTCATTCTGGACTGGTCCTCCTCCTGGATCATCTTTGTTGGTATTGCTTACTGATTCAGCAGCAAAACAAATTAAATATCTAATAGTGAAATAGACCATATCTCTTTCTATTAAGTGTTCACATTTTAAAGCTGCCTTAAATGCACAAGTTTAGAAAAGTCTGTGTTCACAAGTCTTTACGAGGCTTCCCTGCCCTCATCAGTGCATAGTGATGAGTCCCATGAAAGCAGCAGGAAGGCCTAAAAATCAGGAGGAGAGCTGGAGTCAAAGTTTAATTCTTGCAGCATTCCAGATGATGATTCTTGGCAAAGGTGCATGGCTGGCCAAACAGGTTATTTATGACCAGTTTTATATACTTTTCAGTGAAAATTCAATATTTTCAGGAATAATATTGATGATCATTGACATGAAAGCTATCAGCAATTATTAACTTAATCTAGAACAGGCCCGCAAAAGGCTCTTTTGATCAGAAGTTTAGTAGATCATAGAAGAAGCAAACTAGCATCAATTCACTTCCTTTAGCATGATAGGTGCAGAAATAAAGGAATAGGTCAACTGAGGCAAAATCCCTGTGTTCTGGCCCTTTTTCTGCCACTGATTATCATATGCCTCTTTCCTCATCAGTTGACAGAGTTTGAATTACACAATCATCTTCAATTTTTGAATTACATGATTCTCCCCATTCATGCTGGCAACAATCTGGAATTCCCATGAATGTTTTGAATTGAGCTCTGTGACTACCTTTTGGACAGCAACAAGTTGTTTATGGCTGAAGATAGTGCTGGGAGGAGAACATAGAGACCTCAGGAGAAGACCATAGGCGCCTGAGCTAAAGAACTAGAGAGGGGGAGATTATGGAATTGCAGAAGTGCACAAAAATATGAGAACTAAAATCTCACACTCTGAAAGTGCAGGACCTTAAAGCTGCTTTTCTCCAATCACTAGGGACATCTGCTCCATGGATAAAATTCCGGGATGTTGCAAGCTGCCCTTCTCAGCCTCCAGCTCCCCCCTGGATAGAATGGCTCCTCTCTGTACTCAGGCCATTCGTCTGATAGCTGCTGCTTTCCAGTCTGTGGCCCTCTTTTCAGGTTCCTCATGTGGGCCCAAGCTAGGGGCTTGCCATGGACTGACCCAATTCTGTCCCATCCCTCAGGCACATTTTCTTGATCAATTGTGTGTTATTTTGCTTCCTCTACCCACTCTGGTCTTCTGGTTATCATAGTCAATGTATATTCTTTAAAAGTCTTACAGTCTTCTTTATCAACCAACACATAACCCGTCCCATCCACAAAAACCTAAGGATGCCATAGTGAATGCAGGATTTGTCACTGGTGCGGCCAGAACTTTAGGCAACCCCTAATTATGCCACAGATGGTTTCCTGGCACCACCTACTGACCAAAGATGCACATTACAAACACTTTAAAATGAGCACAGATTCTGTTATCCAGATGAGGGAGTCACAAAGGGCTCAGGGTGATTGCAACAACTGGTCCTTGTAGTGTACCCACTAAGGTTGTGCTATGGCATGACTCTTTTCTGAATATCTAAGAACGGTATTTCTGGAGTTTAGAAACCAATTGAGGTAGTCCAGGTAAAATGTCTGGGATCTAGCACATAGCATGACATAGAATAATGCATGACATAGAATAATGGCAAATAACATGTTCTTTTAAAATGAAGCAATGCAGCCCAGGTTGGTATGGCTCAGTGGACTGAGTGCCAGCCTGTGAACCAAAAGGTCACCTGTTCAATTCCCAGTCAGGGTACATGCCTGGGTTTCGGGTTAGGTCCCCGGGTGCTTACAAGAGGCAATCAATGGATGTTTCTCTCTCACTCTGATATTTCTCTCCCTTTCTCCCTCCCTTCCCCTCTCTCTAAAAATAAATAAATAAAATCTTTTATATATATCTAGATATATATATATCCTTAAGCCCTGGCCAGGTGGTTCAGTCGGTTGGAGCGGCATCCCATACACCAAAAAGGTTGGGGGTTCGGTTCTTGGTCAGGGCACATGCCTAGGTTTTGGGCAACCAATTGATGTTCTCTCCTCCCCCCCCCCCCCCCCCAAAATCAATAAATGTATACTGGGGTGAGGAAAAAACAATGACCTTAAAAATGTCCCAATTTTGCCTTTGGTAGTCTTACATATCAGATATATAGATAGAAATTTTAAGTAGTAATAATCTTATCTTTTAAAAAAGTTTAAAGACTATATAATTAAAGCCTCCTTCCACATATGTCCTTGTTTCCCTTGCCCTGTCCTACTCTTATATATAGTTAACCGTTTTTAGTTTCTTTCCAGTGTAACTTTCCAGTTTATGCAAAAAAAAAAAAAGTATTTGAAATTTCCCACCCTTTGTGCACAAAAGGTAGCATATGATATACTCAGTGCAGTAGCTTTTTTTTTCAGCGGACATATCCTGGAGATATTCCCATGTCAATAAATATAGTCCTTTCTCATACTTGTCTGTGCTCCATGGTATTTCATTGTGGGAAGGACCACAGTGTTTTTAACTAGTCTCCTATACATGGACAATTTGCACATTAAGAAATTTTATCAATGTGTTTTGAGTATATACAGTGTTTCAGGGACCCATGTTATTTATTTTAATCTTTTTTCACTCTTCATATTCAATGACTCTCACATTACACCTTTATATTTGATGTCTCCCACAGCCTGGAATTTTTAGTTCTGTAAGTGTTATCTGCCTGCTTAGAACATCTCCTTTTGGACACTACAGAGCCGTGCTGCCCAACGCCACAACCATTAGTCATGTGCAGCCATTTAAATGAAGTAAAATACAATTAAGTTCTTCAGTCATACTAGCTATTTTCAAGTTCTCAATAGGCACATGTGGCTATCCATATTGGACAGGCAGGTGAAGAGCATTTGTTATTTTAGAAAGTTCTCTTGGAGAGCGTTGGCCCAGAGAAATTTCAGCTTCAGGTTTTCAAAATTTAACTATCTTCTTAACAATTCTCCTCCCAAGTGGAAGTTGTTACTTGTCTAGTTCCCTCATTAGACTGTTAGCTTGAGAGGCAGGGATTGTAACATTTCTCTGTCTATCCCTAGTACCTACTTATGCACAGTGCCAAGGACATCATACATGTCCAATGAATATGGAATGAAAAACACTGATGAGGAACCTGAGGTTCATAATATAAGTGTGCCCAAGGTCATAATTTGTATGTGGTCAAGCTGTTATTTGAACTGAGATTGTTTAATTCCCTAGTAAGGTCATAGGACATGACTGTGTTAACTTTCATTTCTAAAATATTCTATCAGGGTTACTGAAAATAGAAATTTTAAATGAATAAGGCTGGAGGAAGCCTTTTCTTTCTTTTGATTTTTTAAAGGAATATCCTAGGTATCTGATCCAAAAGATACACTGGGAACCTCTCAGGGAAACAGAATTGTATGGAGAAGGCGTCAACCACTGGGCACTGGAAACCAATTGTTTTCTTTCAGTGTGGAAATAGACTGTATTAGTTTGCTAAAGCTGCCATTACAAAATACCACACATTGGGTGGCTTTAGCAGAAATTCATTTCTCATGTTCTGAGGGCTAGAAGTCAAAGATCAAGGTGTTGGCAGCTTTGGTTTCTTCTGAGGCCTCTCCCCTGGGCTTGTAGATGGCCTTCTTTTCCTGTGTCTTCACATGGTCCGTCCTTTGTGAGTTGCCTGTGTCCTAATTTCCTCTTCTTAAAAGGGCACCAGTCAGACTGAATTAGGGCCTGCACTAAAGATCTGATTTTAACCTACCTCTTTAAAGACATTATCTTCAAATCTAGTCATATTCCACGGTACTGGGTATTAGGAATTCAATATGAATTTGGGAGGAGGACACAGATCAGTCATAGGCTCTTTTCACATTTTTTTAGGATTTTTATTTTTAATTAATTTTACTCTATTTTTATCACTGACACTACTACAGATGTCCGCATTCCTCCCCGCCCCGCCCTTTGCTCGCCTCCACCCAGCCCTCTCCCGGCCTTTCCCTCTGGCCATCACCACAATATTGTCTGTGACTATGGGTTATGCACACGTGATCTATGGCTAATCCCTTCACCTTCTCTCATCCAGTCCCCCTCCCCTCTGACAGCTGTCAGTCTGTTCCATGTGTCCATGCCTCTGTTTCTATTTTGTCAGTTTTTATTTTATTTACTAAATTCTACATATAAATGAGATCACACAGTATTTGTCTTTTTCTAACTGGCATAATAATTTCCAAGTCCATCCATGCTGTTGCAAAAGGTAAGATTTCCTCCATTTTTATTGCCATGTAGAATTCCATTGTGTAAATGTACCACAACTTTTTATCCACTCATCTACTGATGGACACTTGAACTATTCCAGATCTTGGCCATTGTAAATAACACTGCTATGAACACAGGGGTGCATATATTCTTTCAAATTGGTGTTTTGGGATTCTTAGCATATATTTCCAGAAGTGGATCGCTAGGTCAAAAGGCAGTTCCATTTTTAATTTTCTGAGGAAACTCCATACTGTTTTCCATAGTGGCTGCACCAGTCTGCATTCCCACCAACAGTGCAAAAGGGTTCCTTTCCCTCTACAACCCCACCAGCACGTTTGTTGATTTATTGATAGTCATTCTGGTAGGTGTAAGGTGATATTTCATTGTAGTTTTAATTTGCACCTCTTTCACATTTTTCTTTGATGAAGAGACAACAGAACTAATATTATGCTTATCAAATTAAAGACTGCTTTTATTCTACAG